TCCCGTATGGGGGCGACCTTGACTGCTCCGCTTGTGAACCGTGAGAACGAAGAAGTCTCCTTTCTTTCCCGCGCTCGGGTCTTCCGCGTTCGCCTTCGCGGAACCGATCAACTTCGTTAGTTGACGGGTCGGAAACGGGCTACGCGCTCTACATCAGCCGCATTGATTGCGTTAAACCCAACATGCTCGTAATTGGTACCTCATACTACTTCTTCCCTCCTCAAGAGTGTTACTGGATACTCGATGTCCAGTAACTCGTTACAAAAACAAACAAAAAAATCGCTCAAAATAAACTTATTCTCGGTGCACGCACATGCGTGAACCAATTTTGGTGCCTCATACTAACGCCACCTCTATATCATCTCAATCGACCGGGACGGTCGCTCTTGAAAGGGGGGAATTGACGCAAGGTAGGCTGGCAACTATAGTAGCCAGCCTCTGAGGAGGACAACGAAGTAGTTCTTTGTGCGCGTGCTCTGGTGTTCGCGTTTTTGGCCCTTGGGTTACGAAAGTAAACGCCCTATTTTGTACCTGCGTACCTGTGTCCTTGCGACAATATTGCCTTCCACTGAATGTTGAAGAAGTATACGTACACAAGACGTACACATTTACTGCGTCGTTTTGTGACTGTAACAATGCGCGAAAGAGCGTGGCTTTCACGACTCACTGACGCCCGCTGTCGGGCCTGTCGCAGAGAACAAAAAAGTCGCCATCTTCTGTGCGTATTGAAATTTTGACCACCTGGGGTTCTTTAACGTGTACCCAAGTCTGAGTACACGAGCCTACAACATTTCCGCCTCCATCGGAAAAAGAAAAGAAAAGTGAGCCCCGTAACTTCGCTTTAGGGAGCGACACCTCAACAGTAGCTCACAAGGAATGGGGGTGAGGAGGGATTGAAACGATAGGAATAAAGGTGTAGAGAGAAAGAAAGAGAGATGAAGTAAGCGTGAAAGTGTGAGAGCGACGACATATCGAGGGGATAGGAGAGATAGCAAAGATGGCAACACGGTCACAGGAGTCCGAGGACGGGGCACGACTTGCGAGAGCTCTTGTCGGCGTCGGGAGATGGCGCGGGGCAAGTCCAGTCGGTCAGAGCTACACTGTCGTCGGAGGTCGGCGTCAGGAGATGACGTAGGGCGAGCCCAGTCGGCCAGAGCTACGCTGACGTCGGAGATCGCGAGCGCACAACTGGTCGGCACGGAATCCAGCGAGCCAGTCTCAGACTCTAACCGTGCGCAATTCACTGCACTCGAATGTTGCAGGTTTCCTCCGCGCGATCGCAACAAGAATATTCGAACGAATGCATGGGCATGCTTTTTGCAACGTCTAAATAAGAAAAATTTGTAAAACAACAACATCGTTCAGATGGTACCGGTGAAGTACAGTAGAAGTTAGCAGAGAAGCGTAGATTGTATTCGTAACTCCGCGTTTCATTGTTCTAACCATTTCGCTTCGCTGGTCGAACTCGACCTTGTTGGCCGCATGCGGCGCTCCGTAATATTCACTGTAATTGGGTGTCATGGAATGCACAAGAAAAACTACGATTTGATTTTGACCTCGCTGAAAGACATTACGCCATAAATACAGTCAAAGTGACTTACGAGCGCGAAAAATAAAACTCCAGAGGACGTGAGGTGCAACTCGCAATTCGCTAGTTAGTAGCTTATCGTTCATCGTTGCTGCCATTCTCGCTCCGTTGACAACCTTCCACGTTAAGTGAAGAACCCTCAACGTCAAGATGGTTTCTTCGAACATCACTGTTTAAAGTAATCTGAGGAATTATTTCCGCCGAACGACTATTGCAACACTAACACGTCACTAAACACGCACAACTCCAACACGACGTAACTAACCACGTTTATCTGGGCGTCGAGAACATTTCGCTCTCACAACAGCCCACAAGCGAATTACTCGCAGTGTGCTGCCATCTATCAAGAAACGTCCAAGCCTGCGCCCAAGCCTGTGCTACTTTCCGCGTACAGTAAATATTAGGGAATTCATCAACTACAAAAGCACTAATGAATGCTATACGCACGTAAAACAAGCATAATACTCATCGCCGATAAGTATTATGCTAATAATACTTATCCACTGTCGCACTTTTTTTCTGGTACACATGTGGAATAGTTTTCGGCGCGTGGTCGTAGTTCGTGAAATAAACGGATAAGCATCGCTAATCACATGTAATGAATAAGCTTTTACTTGTGTATTTCATACTTCAAGCCTATATCGTAGACAATACTCTTCTTCGACAAACCTTGATTCAAATTTCGTTTCTTGGCCACGTTTACTTTCGTTCAGACGTAACAAAGGGGCCACGAGGCTTGCGTGCCGGACGCCATTAGTTTTGATATCGCCCGGAAAATTTGATAATACATTTTCACAAATACGCGTAACTTTTTGTGATTTTTAAGAAATGTATATTCTACAAATTGACACATGCTACAACTTCCTAACATAAATGACTGTTCGAGTGAGTAACTAAAGGTGTCATTTCCAAGCTCTTGTTATTTAGTTACTTCAATGTTGTTTTAGTTGCGTCAAAGTATTTTGCCTCTACCTAGAGTTTGTGGGAAAAAAATGTTACGATCTTTATTGCCATAGAGAACATTTTAAAAACATCTTTATTTACCAAAAAACTTCGTATATACCGAATAAGACTAAGAAGCGCGTGAAGAAATGGGGTGTCATTATAAGCAGTTTGGGGCCACACGCTAGAAAGGAGGATACCAAATTGAATAGAACAAAGAAGGCATGTTGGCGTGAATACGCTAAATTATGACAGCGCGAATTCTTTTTATATTTTTCGCATGCAATGAAATTGCGATAATGGTGCTTCTACACATGAGAACGTTACTCTCACCCCGTCGACAACCTTCTACGTCGAGGGAAGAAGCCTCGACGTCAAGATGGTTTTTTCGAACATCACTGCAGAAAGTAAGCTGTGTAATTCTTTCTGCCGAACGACGTTTGCAACACCAACACGTCGCTAATCACGCACAACACCAATACGACGTAATTAACCAAGTTTATCAGGGCACCGAGTACTTTTCGCTCTCACAACAGTCACCAGGTGAATCACTTGCAGTGTGCTACCATCTATCAACAAACGTAAAAAGAAGCGGCGCAGTGATGCTCTTCCAGCCCAGGGTTGGAAGAGGAAATCGCGAGCCTGTGCTACTTGCCCCGTAGAGTAAATTTTGAGGAATTCATCAACTACAAAAGCACTAACGAGTGCCCGCGGGTGGTTATGTGCCACTAGTATGCGGTTATATGCCTCAGGTGATCGAAACTTAGTTTCTATAGGAACGACGAGAACACACATAGGTAATTTTAACGCACAAGGGTAAAAAAAAACAACAACAACATCGGCTGCGTGAGCCGACGAATGCAAAGAATAGATGTTAGGGCCCCAGCAACAATCGCTTCCCGGTATTCTGCGTGACAATTCCAAGCATTTTACCACAGAGCCACGCTAGTGCTCAGAACTACTCTTCAAGTTGACTCAAATGTTCGTGAAACGTCAGTCGTGGTTGCAGTGCTGACTATACATTTTTATAAACGTTACATGTACTCCTGCAATACAGCTGTCACATAAGGTTAACATATATTGTAGTAAGGTGCCATGCACTGAATTTGATTTAGCAGAAGTGTCCAGGGCTACCATTCTCGCGAGTAACAGCACTTCATATTAGCTTATCGATTCTGGTGTTGCAAATGCTCATGTTTCTGTTGGCATCGTTGCGCAAGTGGAAACGACTAGTTATATAAAAATCTGTAACTGTTCATTACTTGTCCGTGCCTGCAACATTTGTACTTATATTCAGCGTCATTTCGTAAAGCGTCGCTTAATAATGAAGAAAAAAAAACATGGTCACCTTCCCTCCGCATGCTTCGCATAACGTTGATTCCCAAGGCACGTCGATACTGCTGATTTAGGAACCAAAGGCACTTTTACTGTGTCCATCCGTCCACCCATCACAAAGCCTATCTATCTATCTATCTATCTATCTATCTATCTATCTATCTATCTATCTATCTATCTATCTATCTATCTATCTATCTATCTATCTATCTATCTATCTATCTATCTATCTATCTATCTATCTATCTATCTATCTATCTATCTATCTATCTATCTATCTATCTATCTCTCACGGTACCCAGGTTTGAATAGATGAATGTATTCAAAAACTGTAGTGGGCATTTTGCTCCCACATCAGGACAGACGGTATGCGGCACAGACGATTTGGCCTACACCAAATAAGACCTGCCTAAAAAAAAAGACATTGAAAACTTCAGAAGCCCTTTGTGTAAATCAAACAGAGAAAAACGTACTATTTGACATAGCTGGTGATTGAAATGGTTCGAAGAAATGCAAACATATGTACTCTTCTGACTTGGCGAGCCATAGCCTGCCGTTTGTCATTTGCGCCTCAATAGGCCAACGATTGATGCTTAGAATAAATTTCAATGAAACTGACCTTGCTGCTATAACCTATAGATACCAGCATTACACGAAGCCGGTAATTATACTCTTTTCTTTCCAATGTAATGAACATGACAGGTGAGACTACGATTTGCCTAGAACTACTAAAAATACACAAGGACGTCAAACCACGCCGTGAAATTTGGCATGTACGGTGACATGCGCAGCTATTCACTGATTAGTGAACATGAAATCGAGTCCCCCCAGTGTGTGGTATCTACACGATTTGTTTTGTGCTTATGAGTTCATTCATGTTAATTCAATGTGGAAGTTGTGAAACTATGCGTGTATGTAAATATCGGTCAAAATTATGACATCCATTATTTCTGGCACGCAAAAAAAGTTTTTAAACAGCTCCTTGACAAGAAAAAAACATAAATACATGAATTGATTTCGTTGAGATGCCTCATATGTCTCGTCCTTGTATGTCTCCTTATGTTGACACTTGCTTATACAATTCTAACAAAGGCTTGTTTGAGCGTGTTACTAATTGTGCGCTGCTTTCTCGCAGAGCCCAAGATAATGTGTCCGGACTTCGAGTGCCCGTCGGAGCTCGGATGTCGCGTTGTGCGTGAACGCTACACGGGTTGTCTTCACTGCGACTGCAGCCATGTGAATAGCGCTACGGCTGACAGCGATCAGCAAAATAGGAAACCCTGTAAGTACTAAGACTTAAATGAAAGATGCAAATGTCGGAACATGTCTACAGAAAGGTATCAACACGAACGGTCGGTAGGGATGAGCCGAGGATACTTTACAGTTTTCTTTATTGCTTATATCCGATGTTGTGACGTGTCCGTATCCCAGCATTCCTTTATTCCGTTTTTGTTTGTATTCCACTTAATTTTTACTCGCGTATTTATTAGAAGGAATTCATGCTACTTGAACTTTACTTGCGTCAAGAAGTGTTTTGGATAAACGCAAAACATCAAATTTGCTTGAATTGTAGCGGCGGTTTACCGTCTTGGAGTTGTGATGGAAACAAAACATTGATGTGCTATAATGCAAAAGCATAGCCTATGGTTAAAAGGCAACGTCACACCGCAGCACCAGTATAGATGCATTCCACTGTTTAAAAACGCCGACAACTTTATACAGTGCTCATTAGTTTGTTCACTGTCGTCACAGAATGTTTTTTACATAATTTGTCGAATGATATGTCGCTTTAATTATAGTTTATGACAGTTTCTGGTATTGCTAGAGCACGATACGAATAACCGCAGCACATAAAGAGAAGCGTTAAGATGGTGGCCTATAGAAGCCGCGTCTAAAGTGTTCAAAGCATTCTTTTTTTTTTTGCTTTGTTTCTGGTGCGACATCTTGACCATGGAAACGCTTACATTTTGCACTGATCAGTCATTTTTTAGTACCTGATAACCATGCATTTGATGCAGCTTTGCGCACACGTGTGGAATGTCACGTTGTCATTGATTCGTAACAGTTGCTCTTTTTTTTTTTTTGCCGGCAGTAATTGTAGACGAGCTCCTTGAATGCCCTCGGTTACGCTGCCCCACGGAGCACGGCTGCTACGTTCTCCAAAGGAGAGGGAAGTGCCCCTACTGCAAGTGCGGTGAGCATATTTCCCATCCGGAACACATTGGGATCATTATTGGTAGCTGTCATATCCACGAAAGATGAAGTCGACTGTCGATGTGCCTGGTATATATTGGCGGCTACTTTGCAAATCGGCTCAGCACGAGAGCCTGAAACTACGCGATGCTTTACTCGCGCACGACCTTTTTCTTTAGCTGGTAAAATCCAGTCAACAGTTATGGGCTTCATAATCTTCCTTACTTCAATTGCTCTTGAGAAGACAGCTGTGTTATTGACCGAGTTGGCAGTGCTTCCTATGTGGCATTCAGCCGCTAGTGAAAAACACGCACGTATGTATGTCGTTGTGTTCGTGTTTCTCCTGTGTATGTGGTTTTTTTTTTACTAACGGCAAAATGTCATACAGTTCAAGCGCTCTGGCATGTCGGAAACAAGCGCACAAGGAACGAGAATTTCGGACAATACCTTTTGTCGCGAAGTCACGTCTAATGCTCCGAAAGGAAGATTTATTACCATTTCGATCTGAGTAGCTATATAGCTTACACATGGCTATAAACAAGCTCGTGTAAGACATGCGAGAGCTTGGCTATGACCCTGAACATAGTGCGCTGTCTTTAAATTTCACCACATGTATGTATCTAGCGTGAGGGTGACAGCGTGAGGTGACATAGCCATATCCAGGCACCTTCTGGGGCTTTTGCTACATCTCCCATGACAATTAATGAATAGCCTTTGAAGAGGTGAGCATAAATGAACTGATGCCTTTGTTGATGGTTTACGCAACCATAAGGTGAAATCAAACAAGAGTTTGGCGTATATTTTAAGCAACTGGGACTGAAAATGTTTTGGTTTAGTTTGATGAATTTCATGGTAAGCAATACAAACGTATCTGTAAAAAAGACATACAAACTTCGAACACGAGTGTTTCTGTCATCAGATTATTTGTTAGTCTGTGTTTGCTTTTCGTTTTTAATGTTATTTTATAATTACAATGAGGGGCTACAGCTTCCACGCCTTGACCTATTTGATGCTTGTACTGCTCAATTTCACTATTCGCAGCACTGGTAGGAAGCCTGTCGTGTCCTCCGATCGGGAACTGCCCAGAGGAGTACGGGTGTCTGGTCAGGCAGAGGAGAGGAAAGTGCCCCTACTGCAAATGTGGTATGCTGTGCTCAATCGTGAATACACTTTTCGGAAGGCTGCTATTCGTAACGGTTGACTAACGCAAGCGTAAGACATGAAAATTGTAAAACCGAGGTGACTTCGAAGAATGTTTACTGTAGATACGCCCCCTATTAAGTATTTCTTATCTTATGTCGCATCGTTGATCTCGCCTCTTGTTTGGAAAGCTAACATGTGAATGTTTTGGCCCATGTGCTCAGATTTAGGGGCAAGTTAAGCAAGCCCAAGTTGTAGAAATTTCCTAAGCCCTCAGCTACGACGTCTCTCATAATCATGTGGTGATTTTGAGGCGTTAAATCCCAAGAATGGTTATCATGAGTGAATGTCAGTCACTATTGTGCAGTGCCAACGCAACATAAGTGTCATTGCATTTGGTGATTTTTTCTTCTTTTTTCAGTCTGTTTTTTTTTCTCTCTGTTTGCCTCTCTAATTTATTTATCTCGTTTTTTTTTTGTCCCGGCCTGGGGTAACCAAGTTAATCTAGTTATTCTTCCTGGCTTCTCTCTTTTTTATTCCTCGCTTCTTTCGTATCGAATAACACATCAGTAGCTCACACTTGCTCAGAGTAAATTTTCTTTCGGTATATATCTTCTATAGTAAGTCGGAACTGTAGGGTTATTATGTGTCCGGCGATTTTGTACGCTTGGAAGAGAAACAGAGGATCACCTTTGATTCAGAAGCGTTGCAGATGTACTCGCCTCTGTTCGTGAACACTAGATGCGAATGCATGCTGTTTTTTGTTTTGTTTTGTTTTTTCCGTGCAAACTGTGTTGATGCCCATATGCTATTGTAACTTGGCAAGGTAGCATTGCGTGTTTCGATAAATTACGCGCAAATAGGAGGCTGGATGAAAAGGGAGGCACACACACAGGAGGCCACCTTCAACAAAGTTTATTAAAAAAAAAACGGGTGCAATTTACGGAAACACTGTTGGCCCTATTAATTTGTGCGCCTTCATGTGATGCCATTTCATTTAGTTGTCTGTACCTTCTGAAGAACAGCTCAGGCTGGGAATTAGTATGTCAGACACCTGTCAGTGCTTAATCGGTCATTATTTTCAGCTACACTCTGAGGGAGCCTAAACAATTCTTCATGAACTTTATGAACACAGAGGCTACTTGAAATAAAAAAACCTAAACACTTTGACTGGTGTTCCCTTTTGGTCATTTACATATCTATAAAGATAACATCCACCTAAGGTAGTGACAATTATTTGTGAAGTAAATATGGTCTTATAAACTATCTGCAGTGCTTCTAGGGAAACCAAAATGTTATGATGTGTGAACGCTCAATAATGTCTGCACAAAGCGATTTCTTACTTACATGCCACACAGTTTAGGATCACAACAGCATCCCGGAAAACCTTAAAAGAATACAAACGTAAGGCATTGAATTTGTCCAGGTTCATGAACTGCACGCGGCAAGCTTTAGCAATACTGGTTTCACCATTGTCGGCTTAAAAATACTAAAATGAAGGATAAAACTTCATTTCTAACATGGAGCTGAAAATTTTATGCACGTTTGCCATAAATTTCAATATGTACTTTTCATATTATGACACCATTGGCTAAACCAAATTTTTTGCAACTCTGTGTGTTAAACCGCTGACAGCCTCACAGGGCAATTACCTTCATTTTCGCCGATGAAGAACTACGTAGTCCTACGTAGACCCCGTAAAAACTTATGGCATCGTGGAAATTGGTGTGGAAACTTCAAGGCGACGTCGCCACCCACATGCTCTCTTTGCGCTTTTTCTCGCCTACCAAGCATGTGATCCCAGCAAGCGGAGTGCTTTTGGTATTGAGAAAGACCTTGAAAAACTTGTGCAGCAAACTTTGCTTCTGTGTTTAGTACCATTTTCAGATTTGCAACGCATTGAGAAACCCACTTCACGTTTGTTCGCCCCAAAATTGTTTCGTCAACAGGCAATCACCTTGAAATGCAGCTTCGATACTTGAGCAACCAAAAGAGAGAGAGAGAGAGTGAGAGAGAAAGAAAGAAATCGGATGACCCACGATGCTTAAAACCAGAGGTGCATTCCTGTGGCGGGACGTCGCACGTCAGCACGTCGTGGCACCCTCTAAGCATCGTGCGCGGCGCGATAGAGGCAACGTTCACGTCGCGAATGGCATTAACACTAGCGCCGTAGGCAAGCTTTCGCAAAGAAGAAAGCGACGCTGATGAGCCGGAGCCACCCGGCCCAACAACTTTCCGAAATTGCGCCCGGAAGCTAGACGGCTCATGCGAAACGGAGCGAGTGACCCCTAATCGGTCACTTCCAGGTAGGTAGGTGTACGCACAAACCCTCTTTGACTTCCAGCGGTGACGGGTGTAATCTCCGCGTTCCATTACAGGCCCACTCGCTCAGTCTTCTGTATAGAAGCAGAACGCCCCATTACTTTGCCTACGCGGAACGAAACGCGTGCGACACCGCTCTTTAATCCTACCCCCTCTTGGCATGGCATGGTTGTCCTTTCACGCCTGAGGAGAAGAAAAATTACTCTGCCGGAAAAGGGTCTTTATCGGTCCCTGCAGAACGGACATGCAATGCGTACAGCAGCTCACTGAAATAGCCAGAGCTTTAGGAATAGCAAATTGGTTCTTCAACTTTTGTCGTCATTTGCATATGCTTAAGCGGCGTGAAAATTGCTGTAGTTGGATAAGTGGGCACACATTTTGTTGGAATTGGCCAAAGAAAGTCAGAATGAACCACAGGAGACTTCTTGAAAGAAGGCTGTACCGACTTGCCAAAATCGATTCACAACTCCAGTGTATTGCATGGAATAATGTTTTGTTTCCAGGATATGTAAATTATGTAATATAAACTACATCTTTAAATTTCTATAAATTGATAAATCAAGCGACTTTTCCTATTTCAACTTTCTCGCTCACTCAATATTTTTTTTATTTTTAAATAAATTTATGGCTGACTCTGGTAAAGCCACTTTGTAACGAGTAAACGTTAGCCGAGGCAAACTATTTAATGTTGAATATAAATTACTAGCGCGGTCCCCAAACGTTTGCTGCCAGAATTAAATCGTTTGCAAAATGCTGCATGGTGGCTTCAGTGATGCATCTCTCCTTGTTCTCAAATGCACACATAAGCTATCTGAGTTTAGAAGATCAAAGTATCAGAACCTTGATAAGGCGGTCGACCAATGAGTTACACTTGTAGGAGCTGTATGATGTATTGCGTAGGAGAACCCCAATACACATTGATATGTTTTGTCTTGTGCGTTTGCAGTAACAAAATTGGAGAGATCACTCCTTGTTCGATAAGTTCAATGTTATTCAAGTTCCAAGGGTGGTTTTTGTGGCTTATTTTTCAGAGTTTTTATTGTCGCAGAAGTTAGGTCTTTTTTGTTTCTAGAGAATCCTCGTTTTCTTCACTTTATAATTTATTCCAATACCCCAAGATCTTCGATGTATTGATATCTGAACATGAAAACTATGGCATCTCCATATGTCTGGAATGGTTAGAACGCCCATACACATACGCACGCACAAACATAAATACTAGAATAAAAAACGCAGGTACTTTTGTGTATAATAAAGGGACCCTGCAAAGGGGCCCCGCAACAATTTTTCAGCATGGTCAGAAAACGCTGCCGTTTGTAGAGGCTCCCGACAACATGTGAGCCAAATAATATAGCATAGTACGTGGCCTGAAATTCACTGTAAATTATCAAAAACAGTTAAAAAAACTTTGTCTTCTATCGACAACTCACGTTATATGCCCAAAAATCACGCGTCAACAACCCATTTATCAAGAAGTACTTTGGTTTGGGCTAGTTGGTTCATAGTGCCCATATAGAAAGGGCAGCGCAAAAACCCGGGAAAAAGGAAGGACAGTATATAGACAGAGCGCTGACTAACAACTGAAATTTTATTGCCATCACCTGTGCATATTTATGTGCCTAAAATGATTAAGAAGAGGTTTAGAAGCAAAACCAGCAGGAAGGCCTGCTCTCTGAACAGGCCTTCCATATCTTTGTCTGACGCTGGAATTATTTACCTTAGAGGCTTTTTTTGACTTTCCGTGTCTTTTGCTTTATCATGACTTCATGAATTTCACTCATCACGCTTGCGCGAGTTCCCTTGAAGATTTTATCGTTTGCAGTTTTTACCGCTGGTTAAAACCAGCCTACTTATCTTGCTTCTAAACCTCCTCTCAATCACATTTTAGACACACATATATGCACAGGTGATGGCAATAAAATTTCAGTTGTTAGTCAGCGCTCTGTCTCTACTGTCCTTCTTCTTTCTCGAGTTTTTGCGCTGCCCTTTTTATGTGACCATCTATCAGCCATTGGCCGATTTGAACATGGCACGCTCACTCGTTACGGAGATCGCCGCGGGAGGCCGCTACTTGTCAACGCGTGCGCACGCGATCGCACTGAAAAAGCCACACAATCCAAGAAAAAAAAAGAAAAGAGTGCTCAAGGTCGCAAAGCACGCGTGCCGTTTTTCTGTGGCCCTGCCGTTCGTCACTGCTTAACTTCACGCGCTTTCGCCGGGACGAGAGAAGCGAGAATGCGATCGCAGCATGCGATAAACCTTTGTAATTCCACTCGCACTGGGTGGCGTCTTAAATTTTTTGCGGCGTTGCATTCGTGAGTCAATAAGCTCTTCCAGTGAATTCGTTCCATGGTTACTTGAAAAAGTGTTTCAAAGCCCCTCTAAACATGTTATAATTGATTGATTGATATGTGGGGTTTAACGTCCCAAAACCACTCTATGATTATGAGAGACGCCGTAGTGGAGGGCTCCGGAAATTTAGACCACCTGGGGTTCTTTAACGTGCACCCAAATCTGAGCACACGGGCCTACAACATTTCCGCCTCCATCGGAAATGCAGCCGCCGCAGCCGGGATTTGAACCCGCGCCCTGCGGGTCAGCAGCCGAGTGCCTTAGCCACTAGACCACCGCGGCGGGGCTCTAAACATGTTATAATAGGCGCAAGCAAGGCTCACAAGGTCTGTCTATTCGATGTTGTCTGGCGCACCCAATGGCGTCAGAGGACGGAAATATTAGCACATCAGGAAATAAACGGAGACAAGTGTGACCACACAGCACAGGCACTGTCTTCACGCCACCTTTCATCAGCGAAAACACTCCCTGCATACGTTGATACCTCCCTCTGTGTGCGACAAGCTCTTTGTTAATTGTGCAGTGGGGGTGGTCTACAAAGCATTGTTGACTTGAGGCGAAGTTTACACTAGCCAAATCAGCTGATGCATCGTTGGAGATGCTGTATAGGTCGTCAAAAAAGTAATACATATTATCAAACAGGTGTGCATTTTTCTGATTCCTTCAAGTTTGTCTGCCAAAAACGAATGAAGCGTAAGAGTGGTATGATTTCATACTCCAATGGCTAAAGAAAAATATGGCGCTAGGGTCTGTGCGGGCTACTTTAGCGACACCTGTAACACCTCGAGAATGACGGGAACCAGATGCTTCAAATATGCTTCAGCTGGATGATGCCCTCGAGATTTGCGTCACTTGTTTGCAGAGTGCAAAGCAAAGTGACGTAAATTGGTTCTTCAGTTGTTACTTGCTTCATTTTTTTCTGTGTTAAACTTACTACCAAATGCTTTGCATGACCACCAGACGGAAGTGAAGCTTGGAAAAACTCCGTCACCAACCTACACATTGATCTGCAATCACGTTATATATTGTGCATCACAATATAGTCAATCATTTAGTTTTCAACACCAAAAACAAACACCTTGTTTTCCCCAGGAAGTTAAGCCGTATCTAACTATAGACGTGACAATACTGTAACGAGTGAGAAACACTTGAAGTGCCGTCGGTTACAATACCTGGTGCGTCTGTGCGTGTGGCCTGCCCTCGAACGCATCTTTCGTCTTGCTGCGAAGACAGGAGCCGGAGGAGCATGACGCTGCGTGACGCTTCACTGTCGTTTTTCAATAGATTGAGCGAGTTTTGCAAGACGAAAATGTTAACTCTATACATTATCCTGCACTGCCATTGGGCAATACATCTATGAGCTGTGATGAGTGCATGCAGGACGCTTTGCTAAAACCGTAATGAAATATAACTTGTACAAATTGTAAAGCTCACAAATCATATCAAACCTAAAGGACTAGTGGTCTTCAGCCTCTTTGAATACTAAAGACACTGCTTGAATGCCTTCCACCACAGAACCTATCCACGCTGCGCGTAGACTAGAGCTGAAACTTCAGAAAATAAAGCGTAAAAACTCGTCAAGGTCTGTGCTTTCCATCATTCTCATGGTGGCGCAACGACCTTAGATAGCGCCAATTTTTTTCTTGGTTATTGTATGAATCTCAGTTAACTAGCGTCGCCAAATTCCCGTCGTCATAGGAAAATCTTTCACTAAGTGCCTACGTTCATAAAGCAAAGCGGTGGCACAATTGCGGGTCAGGATGGCAAGCTTAAACTGCCTGGGTGAAGAATGGGATAATTGCGCTTTATTGGCTCCCACCGCTTCCACCCCGAGGGGTTCATGACTGTTGCAAAACCAATACGCACTGTACGGTAGCCTCGCTGAAGGCATACCTTTCATGAACCTCGCCATTCGCTCTTCTATACTTTCTTCGTTTGGACTTTTCTCCGCAGACTCTCTTCCTCCTTATCTCTTTTTTACGGGCACGCGCCGTCTCTTGACTACTCAGACAGTCGGTTAAGCCCATAGTCTTTCGCAATGAACGTAGATGTCGCCTTGTGTCATGTAATAATTCATGTCCTCGCTTTCACAATTATATCCAGAGCTTGCCCGCGTCTACAACTTTGGAAAGGCTCACGATACTACAAGTGCTTAAATTATTTCCCGATAATCATCATAATAGTTATCATAATCATCAGCCTGATTGGACCTGCAGCAGGCCAAAGACTTGTCCTATATTCCACCAGTGCGCCTGGTTCTGTTATTTCAGCGGCGTCGCTATTGCTCCAAGGTTCTTCATACTGCCCACCTCTTTTGGCCATCTTGCGCGAAAGAAAGAAGGGCGAAGGAAAGAGCACACACGAACCAGCACAATCTAACAACTGACTAGTTAAAAAGTGGCTAAAAGATTAGTTTGTTCCATCTAGGCCAGCTAGCACTTTTGCTGCACACCTCACCTTCTGTGTCAGCCTCACGTGTCTCCTCCCCAACACTGCTTGACTTTTAACCCACGTGCGTGACTGCCTTAGATGGATGGATGGCTGAATGAATGAACTTTATTTGGTCCCTCGGAAAACGCTTTAGCACGTTGCGCATTGCTCCCACGTCTGAACAGAAAGACGTAGTCTCTGCTGCGTCGCAGACCGTCAGACTGCCCATAACTGTTGCTCCCATAACCTAACCTCCATAACATAACCAGACTGCCCATAACTGAGCTTGTAATAGCACCCACATGACTTCCCCACAGCATAATGCGGGGCATTCGCAGAGGGTATGTTCCAAGTTAGCTATATCATCGTAGAAAGAACCTGTATCAGTTGGCTGTAATTCGAGATAAATCTTGTTCAATAGCGCAGGGTTTGGGTACGGCTTTACGTGAAGAAGGCAGAGTGTCGTGTCGATTTATTATTCAACAATATAGCTGCTTACATGATGTGAAAGAAGTGATTTTTACCCTTTCGCTATAAGATTGTCAGTCACCGGTGAAATGCTTCAGAGCAGTGATCGGCAACCTTTTCGGTGTAGGGCTGAGTTTCATGAAGCTGACACGGCGGTGCCCGGATGGCAAACCGAGGTAGCTTGGGATGAGGGAAGGGGGAGAGGAGTTGCCGGCAAAGAAAAAAGATTTTGGGAATTGATAATGGTTCACACGCGTGCAAATACAAGCGGTGTTCATTTGAGTATGCACGCGTCACAACGTTTCAACTTACAAACACGGGTTACAAATCAAAGCGTGAAAATACTTTTCGATCTGACTTCTCTTGAACATTTAGAGCCAGCTCGGAAATGTCCGCATCGAGGTTGTTCACTGTCTAATGGAACAGGTCGTGGCGTTGTTCATCGGTCAGTAGGGACGGCAAATTCAGTCAGTGTTTGTTTGTCTCTTACGTAGTTAGAATTAAAAACTGCCAAGTCTCCTTCCACGTTGGATGTGATATGGTTATGGGTGGGGTGGGTGTTTCGACGTCGTGCCATGGGCTATAATAATTCCCCACTAGCAGCCATTTTCCGACCCAATTTTACAGGGACGCGATCTGCAGATGCCCTTTCCAGTGTGACTCTTTAGGATAAATTTTACTTGACCGAGAAAGATAAATTAAATCATCTTCCTGCTTCTGATCTGGCGTAAATCCAACATTATTACATACCAAAATCAAATTTTTACTACGCCTATCTAAACGTTGGAAGCCATGCATGTTTTCTTTTTTTAACTCTTCTACGTAAGCTTAACCACAGGCTCCAGTGCTCTACTATGCAAATGTGCTGCCAGGTATACTCTCTCGACCAGTCTATTACGCAAGTCGGTCGGTGTGTGTGCGCTCAACTGGAATCTTCTCATTGGAGTCTGTGTGCGCTCAACACGGAATCTTCATTGGAATCTGAGTGCGCTCAACACGGAATCTTCCCAGTGTCCAATTAAGCTGCTATTGGCCACTAAAGGTACAATATCAATCTATAATGCATGGGTCTGCAGTGGTCTGCTGGAGGATATGGTCGCTTCGTGCAGGAACCTGTCGTGGAGGTGGAGAAACTGTACCAGTACTTTCCCATGCATTCAGAAACAGGCTGTTGTTCAAAAATTATTTAGATTGGAAATTCCTGTTTTATTATAGCTTGAGAAAGTATGAGTTCAAATGAACAATTGCATACCGCATTGATTACTCCGTTTTGAGTTCTTTACTTCTTTCTTTTGCACTAAAATGCGTGGTACCAGGTCCCCCCTAAACAATTCCCAGAAAAAGCAAACAGGCACTTGACCAAGTCTAACAAACGCTTCTGGCTTTGGCCCGATTCGTGTAGTCAAGTATTGCGAAACAAAAACAAAAGATGCTTCAATGACGTGCATTCATGATGTTTTGAATTGCTTATATTTGATGCTTTTTCGCAGGTTATATGAAGCAAGGCCCACGGAACGGGAGCTAGGACCTGTTCAAGACTCCATCTTTACTGCCATAAACAGAAGCATTTGCACAGAAAGCAGAATATAGAGGACTATCACTTCCTCCAACTGTGGGATCTTAAGTAACATTGGCTCAAGTACAAGGACTGACCGCTTCGAACAAATTTATCCCCAGATTTCTTGGAGGAATTTGCGTAATTCAACACATATTTTAAATTATCTACTACTACTACTACCACGGTAGGAATACTCACAGAATAAAAATGGTATGACTCAACAGTAGACATCGTTTCATTTTCCGTGCAGCCGCCCTTGTTCTACCTGTCGAAATATTTAAGCAGCGTACATTCACCTGCGCTCTAATTTACAATATGGGTCCAATGCGCATGATGAAACATGTTCGCTTCTCTGTGGTGTGCGTGTGTGTGACTTGCTTGTAGCAGATGCAGTTTCTTTGTATTTCTCGATTTTCATGTCGATAAAAATTGTGTAAAATGCTTTTCATTTTAGCGACAGCTTCGCACAAAACGCAATTTCAAAAGCTGATGCTGGTGCTTGTTGTGCACATTAACTGGTTTGTGTGTGCGTGCGGCGTGCGCGTTTGTGTGTGTGTGTGTGTGTGTGTTCACAGGCAAGTAAGTGCGCCTGTGCATATAATGGTGATTTTCCGAAAAAAATCCCTTAGTAACATCACCAGTGCATTATGGGGTCGTCCTATATTGCAGGTTGCACGTGGCACTTGAAAACCTTGAAAACACAATGCGTAGAATCAAATTTGTAGTACTGAATAATTTTCTATGTAGGATGTTCTGTAAGAGCTCTCTACTAACACAAATTAAATAAGGAAAAAAATACTTTGGCTGGGCTGCCATATTTATTACAAAACGCTTGAATTGGCATGTATCATGAAACAGATCAGCTGCAGGAAACAGCACCTTGCATATGTCTCGTCGGTAAGCCACTGTGAAAGAACTCGTGAAATCTTCTGACTAAAACCTTCATGCTGCACCTTCTTTACTAGCGATATCTTAGGGTATATATTCATGACCATACCCCGAAGGAAAAATGAGACTCATCACCCTTTAATAGCGTTTCATTAAATAATGCATATAACAACACACTACGGATGAAAGCCAAAAGTTTGCATAGATTTTATTTAGCCACCTTAGTATGACAAGAGCCAAAGTAAACCCGCAAGTCAATCCAAACGTTATCCTTTATTTTTGCAGTTTCGAGAATGTATAGGAAGATCATCAGAAGGGTAGACTGGTGGGTTTGTTAGAACGTACACAGAGTTATTCAAAACATTTCATAAATTGGAACACATCGTAAAGACGTGATGTGTATTCCCTTTTGTGTCGCTGTGTATGCGCTCATTGAAAAACTATATGAATACCATTTGATGGCTGTGTTTGCCTCGGTTTCATAAAGTATCACTCACTTTTAGTTTTGGTGAATGGTACACCCAGACGCAAATCCATAATTAGAAACGAGGTGCTCCTTAGGGCCGAGTGCAGGTGCTGTGGTGTCGAAGAATCTAGTGAGCACCTCTAGTGTGACTGCGCAATTTACGCACACCATGGGCGATACCTCGATCCCTTTACAACTCACCTAGGTAGAAGCCCTTTCACTAACAAGAAGCTATAGGTAGTACGGAACTGCACATCGCAGTTTCTAAGAGCAACACAAGTGCTTTCTTAAAGATACCGGACTGATTCGATGTTTGTGATATCAAATACAGAGATTTTAGGCCGAGTGCAATGCTGATTTTATTTTTTTTCTTCAGCTATAATTACTATTACCTTGCACTAGTGCAGATCAGCTCATAAGGCTCCGCCCTTTAGCTTCCTTGCTTTTGTTTATCCTTAACCTCTCTTTTTTTTGGTTTACGCTAATGCTCTAATGCTCTTCTGCTTCACTTGTGCGTTATGTTGGACTCTGATTGAAACAAGGAGTTGTAACGAATCAAAATTCTTTGCATCTTAAAGGTAGTATTGGTAGCCCTCACATTTTTAATGTGACTGTTCCTTATATGATGAATGGATATCAAGTGACGCTCAGTTTTGTTCGCCAACTCCTTTTTGGCAAGGCTTTTCTACTACGCAAAAGCACAATTGTTTTTTTCCTGGGAACCCAGCGCGAATAGCAAATAATGACACAATGAAAAAGCTGCAAGATTTGTAACATTGCGAAGTCTTTTTTTACTATACGAAACTGGTAAAGTTACACATATGAGCCAAACCGGCTCGAATTGATCATTACTGTAGCCCGTCCTTCCCAGCAGGAAGGAAATGTTTGTGAAGGCAGGCTGCGTCTTGATAACACGTGTTCACGTATGTGGTGTCAAGATCCTCCATTATAGAGGGGGCAGAGTTTTAACAGAGTGGTCCCGCCTCTCCATTCCCACCTTTCCATATCTACTGAGTCCAAAGAAAAACAAGCTTGATAACGGATGCTAAAATGACAAGAAAGCAATGATGTACAAACGGGTCCACTGTTAAAGGGAACCCTTATGTGCACGGCATGTTTACTTTTCACTCTCCTGCAAGAGAACAGTGCCTTAGATTTGCACAAGACTGTATGTGATTCACAGTTATTACTCATTTTGAGAGACTATGCTGCGCATGAACATTGTTAACTTATAAACTTGCTGTTAGAGAGCCGGCGGTACAAACGGCGCTCATTGTAGTGTTTGCTTTAACAGTGTACCGTACTGTACATCTCATATCGACTGGCCTTTGGTCACCAGCTCAGCGCGAGCAATAGTGAAAAGCAAACACTTCATGAAATGCAACACCGGTGGCCTCAGCCCACATTTTCGTCAAAAACATTCATGGTCATAACCCTGCACTGCAAAATTGACGTGACAGGTTTACTTCAGTAAAGTGTGGGGCTCACTTGGCCCTTCTTTTGCATGATAACGGAGTGCGGAACGCCGCCTATAGCTGCATGCATAACGATCTGCTGACGTATTTTGTTCACTCTCGTTCACATCTGTTTGGATATCGCTTCTACGGATGTTGGAAACAGCCCCGTATTATTGACGTAAACGTATCAGCGAAATTGCTTCTCTTGTTGGAACACATTGACATTGCTCATCTATACTTTACCACCTTATACCGTTATAGAGACGCTAATCTAAAGTGGTCGCTGGCACGGCATTTGTTATCAGACTATATGTGATAAATTTAGTAAGCTCATTTATTAAACGCTTCCCTAACGTATTACAACATTTTTGTTCAAGTGCACTTGGCCACTGATTCAAGCAAAGCGGAAATGTTACGTGTGCAGAACAGTTATTTAAGTAGCGAGAAGTGCGAGTGACTCAGCGTGTAGAATTATCGGGTAAAGTGTAACACACAGTTGAATCATCCTAACATACGAAAGCGGGCAGCCATCACCACAGAAGAGCAGCAGCTCTAGGGCTTTCTTTCCGAGTACGTAGACCTGTTTGCCGCGTCGACAGTCGCAGTAGGGGCAAGCCCCTGGTCTCAACACGCGCCGGCAGCGTAGGCCACAGTAAATGGACGGGCAGGCGCGTGGACAGTGGCAACGCCGGCAGCCATCCGCTTCGACGACCATCTGGCAGTCGCTTTCCTGGCTAAATCCCTGGCAGGTGGTCACTTCTTTCTCCTCGTCGTAGTCTTCATGCTCACCCGGGCTGCATTGCTCTGCGTAAGGAATACATCGCGTTGGGTCGGAAGGGAACGCACATGGGCTGCTGTCGCTCTGTTGCAATGCATTGCATTGTCACGCGTACGTTGTTCACGAAAGCAAGGCACATTTGCTTCTCAGTGGCACGCTATTACCGTTCTCTCATTTTATTAGGTCGAAAGATCTGTACGCCTCTTGAGCGGGAACGATCAGCATCGTCATAGCTGTCCTACACACGAATGCCCTAAATAATCATTATGGTAGTGATGACGATTAATGATAAATTCAATGCAATTCAATTTTATTTACCAGAAAACAATCTGGAGGGACACATGAGCAAAAAGCTGTCGTAGCAGCTTGACGAAGACCCAGGGTCCTTTAGATGGCAATAGCACATATATGACACATGTCAACAAGTGTTTTTACATGGCATTCACATCCAAAGCATTATACATACAGATCAGCATACTTCATACGCACACATAAAATGTAACAATGACACTTCGTTCAAAAATGAAGGGCAATTCGTTATTATAAAGATAAAAAGTGGTTGCGCAGATGTTTTTTTTTAGTTAATGCGATTGTGTGTTTGTACAGGTTGAATATGGTAGGAATATTATAATTGTTATCTCAAACATAATAACCTAATGAGATGTTGATAGTGTGTATGATGACCATGTTATGATGATGATGGTGTTGGTAGTGATTACCCGACAACCATGCCTGGTGTATTTCGCATTCGAGTCGTGTTGACTGTTTGAAAGAAATTTATGTAGAGCGAGGCGAAAAAACGAATACAGGAAAGAATAGATTGAGAGGACAGAGCGCTCTGTCCTCTCAGACTATTCTTTCCTGTGTTTGTTTTTTCGCCTCGCGCCACATAAATTTCTTTCAAATGTTTCACTAGCAAGCCCACATCGCCATTCGTGTTGAGCGAATGCCTGAAAGACCCCGTATGTCTTGAAATTGACTTGCAGTGTGTCAAATGTGGCTGATCCATAATGCTCAAAGTTTCAAGCAAGACAACAATGAGAGGGCGCAATCACTGTAATAATAATTTATAGTGTGTATTTATTTTTAACTATATACTGGGTGTTTCTTCTAAGAAATACAGACCTTAAAAATAAACATCCCTTGACAATAAGAGTATTGTGATATGTTTTGGGGCGTTAAAACCCAGGTATTATTCAATCTATCAATAAAAAATCAGGGTATTCTCCGTTGCTCCGGCGCACTCTATATATATATATATATGTTGAGGCGCAAATACTTTGCCGCTTCAAATGTCACGTTAATGCAAATAATGAAGAATAGTTACTGAAACGCCTTTTAAATTATTCACTTCAGCGAAGTTGTTCAGAGTATAATGTTGTAGGGCAATGAATGAATATCACACTTTTTTAAAATCCCAAAGGTTGCCCGCAATTCCCCTATTCGTCATTGAATTAAAAATGAATATATAAACTAATCACCCCCGGCGTGCACTAAAGCGACAACTCTGTTTCGTCAAACCGGAACTCCTGGTGACTAGACAGTGACTTAGTTATAATGAAGGTGCGTCCCGGCAATATCTTTTAAGAAACGTGGCAAGTCATAACACTTGCGAAAGCGCATCACCTTATTTT